TGAATAAATAAGATAATAAAATATATAAACATATAAATAAATAATTAATAAATTTAAAAATAAAATAAAGATAACAGTACCCAATAAGTATATAATATATTTGAAAAAAATATCAAAAAATCAGAGTCTGATATGTGTCCGATATCTGTCAATATGTGTCCGATATGTGCTCAAACTTCAGCACGTTTACTTTACCTATCGGAAGTCTGATATATTAAAATTTATTAAAAATCGGACACCTATTGCATACCTATCGGGTACTTGATAGGTATATGATAGGTGTTGATTTTTTACAATTTGATCAGTACTCGTTTCTCATATTTATTACTACTTCATTTCTAATTGTAATTTCATCTAATTTTATTTCAAAAAAATAAATAAATAAATAAAATTAAAAATAAATAAATTAAATTAAACCTCATTTCTTCCATTCACCTTGTTTCTTCTATTCACTTCGTTTCTTCCCATTTATTTACTTTTTCATCTTTAATTGTAATTTTGTTTAAATTTATTTAAATAAAATAAATTAATAAATAAAATTAAAAATAAATAAATTAAATTAAACCTCGCTTCCTTCATTCACCTCACTTCTTCCATTTACCTCGTTTCTTCATTTATCTACTTCTTCATCTCTAATTATAATTTTATTTAAATAAAATAAAATAAATTAAATAAATGAATTAAATTAAATTTCACTTCTCCTATTTACATTGTTTCTTCTATTTACTTTGTTTCTCCATTTACTTGCTTCTTCACCTCTAATTGTAATTTTGTTTAAATTTATTTAAATAAAATAAATAATTAAATTAAATGAATTAAATTAAACATCACTTCTCCCATTTACCTTCCATTTACCTTGCTTCTCCTATTTATACCACTAATTATAATTTCATCTAAATATATTTAAATAAAATCAATAAATAAATAAAATTAAAAATAAATAAATTAAATTAAATCTTGCTTTTCCTATTCACCCTATTTTCCCATTCACCATGTTTCCAATTTACTTCACTAATTTCATTAATTTTGTTAATTTCATCTATTTAATAATATCATGTTTATCATACCTTTCGATTATTCTGCTTTTGTCTTTTCCTCTTTATTTAAATTATTCAAATTATTGTTATCAAAAATATTTTCTTCTTTTAATAAATTATTTAAATTGAAATTATTATTACCTATGTCAGCTTCAACAATTTAGCATTATCTGAAGTTAGATTCATGATATCTTGACAATGAATAGATATACTCTCTTCTTGTAGCTGCGGCAGTTCATCAAGTTATTCAAATTATTGTTATCAAAAATGTTTTCTTTTTTCAATAAAATATTTAAATTGAAATTATTATTATCTAGGTCAGCCTCAACAATTTTGACATTATCTGGAGTTAGATTCATGATATCTTGGCAATGGATAGATACGATTTCTTCTTGTGGCTGTGACAGTTTGTTAATTTCTTGATGGTCTTCAAATATAATTTGAGTTTTCCAGTTATTTACTTCTAAATTTTTGGTTAAATTGTTTATTTTTGTTATTAACCTTTCTATCTCTGTTCCTAAACTGATTGGTTCTTAGGTTGATACTGAGCTTTGTCTTTGGGATTCTTTGGTGATCACGGCTTCGAGTCGTATAATTAAAAGTGGAAACATAGTGAGTGGTGATGTAGTTCCATGGAGTCTTAAAGGTCCTGCTATTATTCGTGGGGCAACTTGTAGTTGTGTTCGTTAGGTGAGCTGATTAGGAGAAGAGGGTATTAGGTGCGGAGATGGTGAATTTCGGAATTGTAATTAGTGATTTTGAAATTTTTAAGCTTATAGATCAGAGATAATCAATTTATCTATAATAAATCATGTCACATCTCTGATAACTGTTAAATAATTATGAGCTTTAAATTTATTTTCAATAAAATAAGTTCACACGTACATATTAAAGTGTGAAATAATCATGAGCTTTAAATTTATTTTCAATAAAATAAACTTGTGCACACATATTAAAATGTGAAATGTCATGAGTTTTAAATTTATTTTTAATAAAATAAGTTCGCACGTACATATTAAAGTGTGAAATAATCATGAGCTTTAAATTTATTTTTAATAAAATAAACTCGCACGTACATATTAAAAT